GGCTTGGGTGCGCTGGCCGGAGACACCGTGGGAAGGGGCGACAGGGAGACGGGTGCCCTCGCCGAGGCACGGCCTCCTCAGACGGCAGTTGTAGAGCTCGGGCCGCTGAGGGACAAGGCAGGAGTCATGGCCACCTGTGGAGAGCAGTTGTCCTTTGCAGGACCTTCCTTCGGAGGGTGACATGGTCCTCGTCTGCCACCATGGCCTGAAAAAGCACAAATGGTAATGATTTTCACATCTGGGGGATTTTCACATCATACCTATAACCCTCATGCCTAGGCATCTGCCCACTGCTTCCCAAAAGGCACACAGATGCTTGAAGACTCAACACCCTCCCACAGCCACCACATTGTATCCATCCCAGTTGCCCTTGAAGAGCCTTAGCTCTAAAGTTCAATTTTATAACTATTTTATCTGCTTTTTGGAAAGATAAAGCCTCAGCTACTTTGGTATATCAAGACAGATTTGCAATCTGGGCACTAAAGCAACAAAAACCTGCAAGTCAGCAACAAGTGGGAGCCCTTGTTCTTAAGAAAAGGGCGTGGGGAGAAAGAAAAAGCAAGGCAAGAGACAGAAACTCGCTGGGACAAAATAAATGGTCAACAGTCATATTCGAATTTCTCTCAGTAATATTATAAGTCATTTTTCCTACAGTGAGAGAAGGAAGATCTACATTTAATTGAAAAATATTACGTGTATTGTAACACCAAACATGAAGGTAAACTTATCTTTTTTACATATACCTATATTTAGGTCTTACAAGACTTTCACAATGAAGTTACGTACAGTGATCATTCTGTAGACACACGACACATGGAAGCGGCACAACCAAGCTCAACTAAACACGGTGCTGGAGAGTACGATCCTGATAGAAAACAGTAATGAGAGGGAGGAAGGTTTAGAAATACATTTGCCTCATGGTGCTACTATAAGCACTTCTGAAAATTTGATGTCTACACGAGGGCCTCACTCTTCAAGAGGCTCAAAACTGGATTTGAGTGGGACACGAGTGTCTCCTCCACTCAGCACCAACCATGGACAGTTCCATGATATTAATCAGGGCAAATGGAGATCAAAGATTAACCTCACACTTTTCAAGTCCAGACACGAAACATAAACTCAGAATTACATTAAATGTATTTTTTTTAACTAGTGTTTAGGTGATTTCACTCAATAGAAACACTTTGCATAACTCACTCTCTTGTGTTGCAGTTCTTGTGTATGTTAAGGTGTTTACAAATAGCCCATTTCTAGTATGTATGGATTTGACTCCCTCCCAATTATTTGTGGATTGGTCCAGATGGAATAAATTTAGAAGGTTAGTCACTTTGTTCAAACTACAAAGGATTTCCACTCCACCTGCCCTAGCTATTTTTCCCCAGTCACTAATAGAACCAGCTTTTTCAGTACTTTTTCCACAAACTTAGAAGCAGCCTCTGCCTCAGGGGGGTGGGGAGGCAATCAGGAAAATATGCTGAGGCAGAGAAATAGTTTCTGTTTTCTCTTTACAAGAGGAAAAGTCAACCACAAATGGTTAAGTAGATTACTGTACATGAAATCACATATTTTCCTTGTTTCTGTTGATGCCACCCTGCAATGGGATGGTGGCTCCAAACCGTCACCTGGTCCTATGTCACATTTTTCCACGAGCTCTGACGTGAGACGCTTTCCCTTCTTCCTCTAAAGTTTTTGGATGCTTGAGATAGAAGGAAACTTGCAATAAGTCCTAAAAGTCGTACATTTTAGACTGGTTCGGATTATCGCGAAGCAGTGTCATTATGTACAAGAGTAAGATGTCATCTTCAAATGTTCTAAATGAGCAGAGCATCAGAAACCAAACATTTCCAGTCACTGAACATTTCCTGATTCTGTTCTAGGGAGAATGCGTGTGAATCTTACAGAAACAGGAAAGCTGATGGTGATGGGTTTTCACAAGTGTACATCTGGATCCTACACTTGTGCTCTTTTTCACAGAATCCTAGAAACTACAACACAAGAAAGAAAGAAATACTTGAAACCTATGAATTTACGGTATATGGTAAGATTGCTAACGTACCAGTAAGCAAATGCACAGCGCCTTTGTAGTCCGGTGGGCTTGTGAAGTGCTTGAGAAAAAGAAATAATTAGTTAACATTTTCTCCCAGAATAGCTTTTTTTAAAAATGTTTTTACATTTCAGTCACACAACTCCTGCAGACACACTACCTTTGTGTTATTTTACTATTTGCCCCCCTTTTTTGTGTTAATATTTGAGAGCAGAGCCTCGGAACATAAGCACATAAATTCTGTACATTTCAAACCAAAACATCTCTTGCTATTTCAATCAGCTATGGAAAGGACAAATTGGTTCTGTGATGGTTAATGAGTAAACTTTATTTATTTGTTTACTTTTGAATAAGAGCCCGTATTTCAGATACAAAGTACACCAATACAGGTGATAAGTTTCTGTATAAAAGTCAATCTGATTACGCCACAGAACTCACAAAATCTATTTTCTTAAAGCATACAGGGAAGCTGACCACACGTATCAGGTCTTTGTGCACTTTACTACAAGGGAATGCGAGCTGGCAGCTAACGGCCACTTCTTCACAGAACTAAAGAAAATCTTAAATAACATCATCTCCCATCTGACGTCTGTGTCACATTGTTGAGTCGCCCTACAAGTGCCACTCTGCCTAGAGGCCAAAACAAAGGCACCCGCATGAGCTATTTGTTAGCTTTCAAGGTAACGGATTGCAGTGTTGGTTTGGAGGTTTGTTTATAAACAACCTGAAAGTACTTTAAACAACGCCCAAAATACATGGAAGTCGAGCATAGCTTCACAAGTTGTTTCCCTGCTCTTTCAAAGCCCCTGCATTTTTTCTTAGTAGCCCACAGATGGAGCTAAAATGCAGTTTTTATGTGGAATTTGTAGTAGCGCACTTCCTACAGTCTTTGTGAGAAATGTCACTTTAAGGTGTGCGGTTTGAGAGGCGATAGCTAATAGAGGCCCCGCTTTTTCATTACTATTTGTTTACTAATTGTAAAAGGAAAATTATCGTATTTGGTTTTCATTATTTGATTTGTAATAAGTCTGTGACCTCTGTGGTTTTGATTCTAGAAAATGACAAGGAGGTTAAAAACAAGAGCCTCCCAGTTCCCTCACGGTAACACTGATGTGGCTGCATTGCCTTGCAAAACAGGTTAAATCAACCCCAACGGCTGCCCTAATTTAGAGGCGTTTTATCACTGAGGAGAGGAAATTATTCATTAATGCTTTGACCACATTCTCTCCTGTATTTGATCTCGTCATGTGCCAAGAGCAACGATCCAGCAGGTTACAAAACAGTTCTGTGGCCATTTTCCCCTTAAGTGAAGACAAGAAACATTCAGAACTGAAGACTCCAAGTTCTTAAATTTTACTTGAAAATTTAGTCCTTTCTGTAACCTGAGGGTGCTGTGTGAGAATTTAGTTCCACTCTTCCCGTCAGCGTAGCAGTTTTCCCCCAGTTATTTTATTGGTTGACCTCCAACTCTTAATGGAACAAAGCAATTTAAGTAACTGGATAGAAACCACCAGGACCAGATCTGGGTTTTCCTCCTTTTATCAGTCACTCATTTTTCATCATTCAAACACACCCACAAGAAGGAAAAAAAAGAATCACCATTCTCCACAAATTAGAGGGAAAATTAGGAGAATACAATAGGATGAAGTGAGCATCATAAGATGGTAAAAGCAGTCATGCGTTTTATTTCTCGATGTTTTCCAAAGTGAACCTGGAGATACCTGCCCAGGCTGTTTCAGTTCATTGCAATGTGTTCTTTAACACATGTCCGCGTATCTTTTTTTCTCTACCCACAGTCAGCCCTTTTGCACCAGGATGGGAAGAAGTTTGCTACCACATTCCTTACAACTGTGAAGATGCGACAAACCTGAGAAGTTCTGTGTCAGCCGCCCCTGTGACTCCTCTGTGTATCTAACACAAAGCTCTTCGCCTTAGCAGCTATGGATTTGGCTGGTAGTAACCCACATCCACACAGATTTTGTCTAAATGAATGTTCATGAACTTCAAATAGTTCAGTTCAGGATGGAAAATTGGGTTTAAGTCAATTTGATCCAAACAGTTAAAAAAAAAATAAATAAGGCTCATTATTTCCTTTATATTTACTCCTAAGGATAAAGAATTATAAACATTATTATTTATAGTAGTATACTGAACTTCCAGTTTTCTAAACTAAGTCCTTGATTTATGATTTGGTAAATGGAGTACAGTTTAAAGTAAGTCCACTGTAGCTGATTCCTACAGCCAGATCTCTTTGGCTTCTTAGTGTTAAAACAAGCGATCAGGCTGCATGCAGACTACAATCCCAGGCCCCCTGAAGCCAGAGGACAACTCCCATTTAGGGCAGTGGGTCAGATGTGTGACAATCAGGACTAGAAAGTATTTACGGGTATTTTTAAATCAAGAAGAAACATCCAATAATTTTTATTCTTCCAATGTTTCTTAATTTTAAGCAAGAGATCGAATTGAAGAGTTTTTTCCAAAAGCAGACATATGCTTTGAGTCACGAGTTTCAAACTGCTCCTGCCATACACTACATGGACAACAGTTTCTCTGTTATTTACACTGACAGCAGTCTACCAGGTTTCAGGAAAAATGACATCACCTACAAGAGCTGCGCTAGTTGCTGTGGGAAATATAAAGCACCTTGATTTAAACAGAGCTTGTTTGCTCTGATCACAGGTTTCTTTAAAGAGAGTATTTGCTAAGTATCAGTGTCAAAAGCAGTGATGTTTCCATTCATCTTTTGGAAAGACATTCACTTTGCAGATTTAAAACACAACCTGATAGGAACAGAAAAGAAGCTGGCAGTGTTTGTTGGCGTGCTCATGGGTGTAGCTGTAATTCCAAACAGCATAAGGGGGAGCAGTGAAGTGGATTTTTCTCCTCCCAGGTCACTGGTGAGTGACTGTGCTCAGGACACAGAGCAAATGAGAAACAAATACCTTAATGCTAGAAAGCACCTGGCTGTTTGAAAAGCTGCTTCACCAGCAGCACTCCTGCAGCTGGGGTGCTTAGCGAGGGACAGGCTCAGCGAGCTTGGGAAGGACAGGATCTTACCACGCTGGAAGGCACACGGTGACACGCGATGGCCCCAGCCAAAACGCTGACTCTGTTCTCTTCACCGTAGTCTGCAAGCCTGGAATGTACAGCCCTAACCACGACGTGACCTGCTGGGTCTGTACGAGGCCTGAACTCAAGATATACGGAGCAAAATCTTGCTGACAAACCGGTGCCAGAAACTGGAAAACCGAAGCACAGCTGTGAAAGTATTCTTGGTTTTGTGATGTTCATTTTTAGCTGCCAATTCTGGAAGCAGACGTTAATTTTTGAACAATCTCAACACATCATCTTTCACACACCCTTAGATTTGCTGTATTCAGGGACCACTTAAAAATGTTGAGTAAAGCAAAGTGCTCACGCAAGGTAAAGTAATTCAGTAGAAAAAGGGCATTTGTCACATGGCTGTTAGTGCCAAGAGTCCGTTTGTTGGTGGAGACACCAGACACACCACAACTTTGTGCTGTGGTTTGCTCAGAGAGCACGGAGGAGCTATAAACAACCTGGGGAAAGATGGCAGAGCTGTAGTGGAATTACGTGCCATAATGACATGTGCAGAGTATCTATGGGCAATTTCTAGCAGATATTAATAGAAGTATTTAATCTTTGTGATTTATAAACATTAAAAGCCCTTCCCCTTGTTTTCCCCCATTTCTCTGTGTCTGAACTTTTCCAGCCTGCCTTGTTCAAATCCATACAACGCACTGGTTAATGAACACCCACCCGCTTTCCCTGCTGCTCCTCCAGCAGGAGCTCTGCTGATGGACATTCAGAGTGGAAACTGAAATCAGGCCCAAGACAAGAGAGGGTTCGTAACAAATCCTACAGCCCAGCACTCAGGAGAATGAAGGACCCAGCTTTTACGGCTCTCTTGTCTGCTGCTCCCCAGAAAGCAGTGGGTATGTCCTGAGGAAGCAGAGAGCCTGCAGAGCCTTCTCCCCCCTCCTGCTGCTGCAGCTTTTCCTTCAGCTGCATCAAATCCCCGTGGCAGAGCCCTGCAGGCCCCAGGTGCTGTGCGCGACAAGCAGATGATCCTCTTACACCAGCTGTAAATTCCCCACAAGTTCACCGGATGAGTAACAAGTCAAGATGCAAATTGCCAAAGCACTGAGATAATGGGAATTGTTTCTTTCCAGACAAGACAGGCTCTGATCTGATTTTGAAGGTTAGCTGCTGGATCTGCAGCAACTGAACGTTTCACTCACAAAACCTTTACTAACAGAGCTTTGTCTTATTACTTGCAAGACCCTGCCTTCCCCCCAGCCCCTGTACAGCGCAGGGAAGGGGCTGTGTGAGCCCACCAGAGCAGGCAGCCTGCCACAGGCTTCCAAGGCCACAGTGGAGCTACCAAAACACCAGCTTTTAAACTTGCTTTTAAGCTCTGTAAGCTGCTCCCTGCTCGGAGCTGCCACCTTCCAGGCTCACCTTGTCACCAGAGGACCCTCATCCTCTTTTCCCTTGTGAGGCACAGCCAGCACGGCCCCTTTTGAAGCCACTCGTGTCATGGTGGTTGTAACCACACCACAGTGCAAGCAAAGGGGACCCTGTGCTGCACGCACACAGCCAGGAAAAGCCATGCACAGCCTCCCAGCACGGAGCCATTGCTTTCTTTTTTACACTATGTAGGACTAAATCAAGCAAAAGAGCACCCCCAACTCCATAACTGCAACTTCTTATGGCATCTTGGTGGGTATTCATCCAAAAATCGACCAGATTCAACCCGGTTTAACTTATCCATCTTGACAGGAACACAGCAGGAGACGGTACGGGCACAGACCATGCTCCAAGCTTTTCAGAATCATTACTTATTAAATACTGACGAATAAAATGTACTGTAACGAGCATTTAAACTGCCTGTAGGCTGATTATCCTCGCTGCCAACTGGACACTGTGTGCACGGCTCAGGCTTACACAGATTAAGCAGACGGGCTCTGTGCTGCCTGCGTCTCCTGGCCTATTTCACCACCAAGGAATGCCCTGCTCATCAATTATCACGGGGGAAAAAAGCTGTGAGTAGGTACAAAGTGCAATAGTGAGTTGTAAATGAACATTTATTCCCCCCTCCTCCTAAAAACTGGAGGTATAGAAAGCTCTTAGAGTGCTTCACCTTTTTAAGCCTTAAAAGTAGAAAAATAAGTCAAATATTTCAGTATTGTGTTGCGAAGGAGTTTGTCTCCTTAATTCTGTGGAGACTTTCACGGCTTCACTGTGACCTTCCCTGTGTAAATTCTCTCATCCAGCCGGAGCTCCCCCTTGCTGCCTGCACAGCCCCAGCCGCAGCCGAATCTTTTATTTATGGCCCCATCCCTCGCAGTTCGCTCTCTTCCCCTCTCCGGAGCCACCGAATCGCTGTCACACTTCCGATTTTACAAATTGCAGTAATCAGCTCTCACTTCACCTCACCTTTGCTTTTTATGCTCGCTCTCTGTCTCCCCCAGCTGCAGTAGCTCACCAGGAATTGCAAAACCTTCCTGGCTGCTTTAAATCCTCCTTTTTTTCCCCGCTCTGCTCTGGTTTTACACATCTTCCTCTTGGAAACGCAGCTGCAGCCAATGTTCTCTGTGTGCGGGGGCCTCAGTTGCTCCTCAGCCCCTCAAAGCGCTGCTTTAACCTGCCCCGACCCCACGGCTCCAATCTCACTTTCTGCAAAGGACAACTTCAACACCTCAAGAGCTGGGACAAATTCTCATAAATTTAAGACCTAAAACTTCCCGTCCCCTTCTCCGTGCAGGCCGCCCACTGACAGCACACGAACGCTTTCAAACATCCAAAAAATGACCAAAAAAAATAAATCACCGTAACCTGCCAACTGGAAGCCGCAGCCCGTTATTTTAACATCATTTCCCAGCCTGAACAAACCACTTGAGAAACACTTCTCAGACGCGCTGTAGAGCACTCACAGCAAAGCTGCCAGGACCACGTCTGCCACGGTGACGGTGACACCGCCGCTGTGGTGGGAAGGTTGGCTCCCAACTCCTGCAGCATCGCCGGTACCCACGAGAGACCCGTTCCTCCAAACTGAAGCCCAGAGGGGCTGAAGAGGAGCTCAGGGCTCATTTCAATGAGCAGGAGCCTGCTCAGCGGATGATGAGGAGAGAAGCAGGTGCCCATCCTGGGAACTTGTCACACGTGGGGTGAGGGGGCTGCGCCAGGAGACTGCGGTGCAGCCCCGTTAATGCACGCCCAGGAATTACCTCTCAGGACCTGCTCCAAGAGTTGCTTTAGAGGAAAGGAGCTTAAAAACCAAAAGGCGAGGATGCAATTTCTGTCCCCAGGACCCCCAGCTGACACCACGGGTGACACGGACACCTCGCAGGATGCGGTTCTGGGCCTGGAGAGGTGAAAGCCCATGCAAGCTCTGGCGAAGGAGGGCACGGACATTGATTGGCACAACCTCATCTGGACAAAACGGCCATCGGAGAAACGACCCCATGCTCCGCGGTGCCAGCGCGCACGAGGGACGGGAGGGAAAATTGGCATTTCAGGTGGGGGAACACATGTCCAGCCCCAGTGCTGAGCTCTTGGCCACACACACGGGAGGAGATACTGGGATTTTAGCTCTGCTTCGGTTTCCTCTCTGCTGAAATTAAATTTCCTCCTGCCCAAGTCCAGCGGCCACATTTTCTGCGCAGCACCAATCCCATAACGAGCAGCATCATCGGATTAATGAGTCCTTTGCAGGCAGTGAATAAGTATGATTCATTATTGGCAGCGATGCCACTGCAAATGGAGTTTTGGTGGTGAAAATAAATAAATAAGGCTATGTAACTGAAGGGCCATTGATGAAGTGTAGACCAGCTTTAATCACAGTGTAATTGCTGCCATCGGTTCTAATTATTTATAAATATTTTTATAATTGTGGAAATTAAACAATTAGACATCCTTCCTTCCCTCTTCTAAATCTAATCAGTTAAAAGTTCAGGATATGGTCTGGGGCCGCGAATGCTGAACACACTTCATTTTCGGGCTGAGGAAAATAAAATTTGGGCTTTCTTCTAATAAGACCTTGCAAAAGCCCAGTAAATAACTGAAAATCCACCGGAGCCGGGGGCTGCGCAGGGCCTGCCGTCCCGGGGAGCATCGCTGGGAAGGGAGTCACCACTGCCGGAGAGGACCCAGTTCCTAAATCTTGCCCCGGTGACACATTTTCCTCCGTCCCTGTTAATTACCACGGGGTGCGGGTGGGCAGAGCACCTTGGAAGTTCATAACGGAGATTTACCGCGTGCTGGCACGGTGCAGAGGGAGGTCACGCTGCTAATTCCCCCGCTGCTGATCCCAGCAGATAAATCTACAGCGCACCAGGAAATGGATTACCCAGAACGCGGTATTAAAATGGATGATGATATTCCCTCACCTAAAGAAAGCGTTGACTCCAACGCCGAGGCTCCCCGT